GCTTGGACCATGCCCACTGCTCAAGATCAAAGAAGCCACCAAAGACAACCATTTTATCATCTATCACATAGGAGGAGTGGCTGGCCATGGGAGGTGGTCCATAGGTTGTCACAGGCAATTCCACCAGTTTTTAGAGAATGAGTGTGTATTTCATCAAATAATCTCTCTGGTTGATGTAGAGGATATGGGTTTGGTCCTGTCCAGCACTAGCAAGTTCTTGTACACAGCCAGAGTTGGTCCAGCTTTTAGAGGAAGGCTAGGAGCTTGAAGCCAAATGTCGAATCTACTCTGCTATTGAGGTCAAGTCTCAAGAGGTCATTGAAGGCAGCATTGCAGCTGCTCTGGGTACAACCTCCAAAGGTGTACATAGGCTAATTAGCATCATAATAGCATGCAAGGTGTGAGAACCGCTGAGTAATTGGGGTTCCAGGGCAGGGTAAGTGCAGCTCTCCCACTGAATGTTTCCTTCCTGGATGGCCTTCATGAAACCATAGTAACAATCGTGGGTTACTCCTTTGATAAGCCGATACCACTCTTTGCAGACAAGGACCACAGTCTTGCCCTCCTGATACTGAGAGAGGAAGGACAGGATATACTCCAAAATCTCTTTGGTAGCTCCAATATCGACCTGTTGAGTTGAGGCTCTTCAGCCTCCAGTCCTGGGTCTTGTTCCATTGTCCCTTTCAGTGCAGTTTCCTCTTGGTCTACAGCCATGAAACTGTCATCTTTACTGTCTGAAGAGCTGGCCCTGACATTCTGCTCCAAAGGATTTCATGGCTATAGTTTTACGGAGGACATCTTTCTGGTTCACTCATCCATTGCAGGTCTGTCCCAACCTGCTCCATGTCCTCAGGTTTGCTCTGCTGGTGGTGAGGGAGCCCAGGCCAGGACCAGGCCAGAGGCAGGAGTCCAGCTGCCCAGAGCTGCCATCTTCTTCCACTCAATTCCGTTTTTCTTTCTTTTTTTTTTTTCCCCCTATCAGTTTCTTAAAGCTCAAATAAAGTATAAAGTTTAAGTGTTCATATAGTATTTGTCAAAATATTCATGGGCATGGTAGACAGAGTGCCTAAAAACAACCTTTGTTTTAAGATTTTTTTATTAAATATTTACATTTGTTCATTGTTAGAATAAATTATTAAGAGGAGCTTGAACAAAACAATGTACAAGCTGGGCATGGTGGTACATACCTCTAACCCTAGTATTCTGGAAGGCTGAGGTAGGAGAATTGAAAATTGAAGTCCAGCATGGACAACTTAGAGAGACCCTACTTCAAAATAAAAAAATAAAAAAGGGCTGGAATGTATGTCATTGAAAAGGCATTGGATTCCATCTGGAGTTTTAAAAAAAAGGCTGTGGATGTAGTTTATTGTGAAAGCTATAGGTTCAATTCCCAGTACTGTAACAGATAAGCCAATGAAAAACTGTCAGGAACTGGTATCATAAAGGAAAAATTATGCAATAAATATGTTGAGAGAATTGGTTAAATGTTTGTGAAGAAATAGAAATTGATTTTAAGTACACTAACACTAATGAATTAATTGATGAAAATTAAAGCATAAAGATTAGATATTGTTTAACCTTCAAAGTCCTTAAAACTTGTATAAGCCTAAAAATTTATAGTAAAATTATAGTTAAAAATTAAAAAAATTGGAAAAATTTTGCAACACAGAGATTAAATAAAAAAGTCATTGGTATTTTGATGTTCTTGGGAAAAAGAGCATTGAACTGCAAGAGTTAAACTGCCATGAAAATACATCTGAACACTAAAAATTGCATATGAATATATAAATATGCATAGTTGACAAAAATGAATACTGACTCATATGATAGTGTTTACAAAAACATTAATTTTCAGGGTAACAACAGAAATGGCCACACACACAGATATGCACATTCTTCTCCCTTAATAGATTAACACTGACAAAATGGCCAAGTAGGGAGAATGCAGTGAGTGGAGTAGAATTGTTAAGCTGTTGATGACAGTGTTATCTGGTGCAATTTTCTTCAGTTTGGCCACTTTTACTCATAGTTTTTAATTTAATGTATTCCACTTTTACATCATCTAATACTTAATTATGAAAGCTTAGTTAAACTATGGTAATTATAGATAAGAAGGTATTGTACAACCCATCAAACTTACATAAACAAACAAAAAACAAAAGGAAAAATATCCTTTGGTAGGTCTTGAAAAAATCTCTAATGCTTGAAACTTCAACAATGTATAGGTGATTATTTTTTAAAAATATTCTAAATTTTCTGCAAAATAGGAGAAAAATATAGGGAGTCAGATGTTTTCTAATGGGAAAAATGTATAGAAGTCAGATGATTCTCAACCTAATGCAAAACAAAGAGGCATGACAGTAAGTTGGGGGCAGTGCATAATTAAAGTACCCAGATTTAAGTAGGATGCAAAATGTGGAGATCAAACTTTAAGGACAGAATAAAGTGGTTTAAAACATTAGGACAGACCATACAGTTTAAAATTTGAGTTTAGGTTGAAGGATGACAAGAGTTGGTCAGACAAAGCAAAAATGCAGAGGAGCTCGAGTGCACAGTGACTTATACAAAGAATGGCTTCCAAGACAACAGTGTTTTCTACTGGAGGCACCAAAATTCAGTGTTATTAGCACCTTTCATGAAATAAAGAGCTAAGCCACTAGGGTTAGGAGCCTTTGATAAAAAAGATACAATTATCAAACAGACACCAAACCTGGTTATTTTAAAGCAATTGTACTTTTCGCTAGGCCACAGTTATCTCAACTAGTTTATTTTATGCTTATCTTTTATTGTGCAATCAAGTCAGAAAATGGAGGTTTCAGTGCATTAAGCTTAATCAAAGGTGAATGTATGTATGATACATAAATGAAAAAATATTTCATGTTTATGGATTGGAAAATTTAATATGGCTATAGGTTTGTACTACCCGTAGAAGCTACAGATTCAATGAAAACCCTATCAAAATTCCAATGTCATTTTTCAAAGAAATAGAAAATAAACCTTAAAATTTGTGTGGAACCAGAAAAGACCCCAAATATCAAAGCTAACCTTGAGCCAACAGAACAAAGCTATAGGCATTGTACTACTGATTTAAAAATCTATTACAAAGTTATAATAATCAGAACAGTATGATACTGACATAAAATGGATACACTGACCAGTGGAACAGGATAGAAAGCCCAGAAATTTACAAAGTTACACATTTGGTCAATTGATTTCCAAGGAAGGTGCCAAGAACCCACATTGGGGAAAGGACGGTCTCTTCAATAACTGGTGTTGGCAAAATCAGATACACACATGCAGAAGAATGAAAGGTGACCCTTATCTCAACCATTATCCATGGCTCAGGTTACAATGAATTGAAAGCTTCAAAACTAAGACCTAGAACTGTAAAAGGCATGAAACATAGGGAAAAATTCCATGACATTGGTGTGGGCAATTATATCTTAGCTATGTTCTTCTAGCTACAGGCAACAAAATCAAAAATAGACAAATAGAAACACATTAACCTAAAACTCCCTGCACAGCCAGTGAAACAATTAACAGAGAAAAGGCAATACATACTCCGGGAAAAAATATTAGCAGATCATACATCTAATGATGAGCTAATGGATGCAAGAACTTAAGAACTCAATAACAAGAAAATAAATATTCCTATTTAGGCAAAGGACCTGAATAGATGTTTCTCAAAAAACATGCAAATGACCAGCAGATATGTGAAGAATTGCTCAGCATCACTAATCATCAGCAAAAGACAAATTAAAATCACAATGAGATATCACTTCATATTGTTAGATTAGCTTTCATTTAAAAGAAAGGCAACAGCAAGTGTTGGTGTGGATGTAGAGAAAGGGAACTCTGAATTAGAATGTAAATTAGTATAGTCCTTGTGGAAAGCAGTAGGAGAGTCTTCAAGGAAAGTAAACATAGAATTACCATGTGATCCAGCTAACTCATTTCTGGGTAATAGCCCCCAAAATTGAAATTGGTATGTTGAAGACATGTTGCTTTGAATTAAGATATGAGCGTAACTCTATTGATATTTTGGAAATGTGCATTAGTGTTCCCCTCAAAAGTGGTGGGCCTATAAGCAATACATGACTAAGAAGAGTCTTTAAGTCATTGTATCTTTATTCTCAATTATAATACCACTCTCTGCCACAGGGACGGAGAGCACTAACAGATGAATTGCAGAGATCACTGCAATTTTGTTTGTTGTATCATGTACACTTTTCCTTTTGAGAATTAGAAAGGTTCTTTCCTCTTTTTTCCTATATTTTGCTGATTTAAAGGATCAGGACTCATTGGGAAGGGTAATGATCATTAATATAGCAATGAGCAAGATATACTGTCATAAGAAGCAGAATACTTATCCTGGAAAATCCTTGATTCATATAATTGAGAGCTACTGAAGTTATTTATCTATTTTCATCTGTAGCTAAGACCATTTTAATGTTGTTTTCCTTATCCATCTCAATATAGCTATTAACTTCAGCAGTGCAGTAGATTTTATTCAGCATTCACCTATATTTATCCTGATCAAGTCAGCTCAACGTTGGACAGTTTTAAAGCTAGTAATCACCATAATCCTTATGTTTGCTTAATCTTAAAATTTGGCAATCTTCATACTCAAGGAGTGGCTTTGTGGGCATCTTTAGCAGCAAAAAATAAATTCCTAACCTGTGAGAAACCAAACTTCAATGATTTCAAAAAAGTTGCATAAAATAATAGGGGCAAGACACTGTCCAGAATTCTAGCATTATTTCTACAGATGAGATAATTTTCTGAATGTTACTTTTTGAAGGGAGGAGATATTTCCATTCTCCACTGAATGTACATTATATATTTCCAGGTTGATTTCTCCCAGAAGATAAATAACTATTAGTTTGCATCATCTACATTGAATACACACATAATTATTAATGTAACATAAATCCAGTGTTTCCTGACTGTTAATCTACAAAGTCAGCACTGACATTTTTTGAAGTTGGATTTGAGAGACCAGTACCTTTAGAATGACTAGCAAGCCAGAGGAGTACGTTATGGAGATTGAACAAAATGCAGCTGAAACGGTAAGTATTGCAAGAAACTTTAAATAGCTTTTGTATTTTTCTTACTTTCAACATTTAACTTTTAAGCCTTCATGAAAAGTAGATTGGAATTTTTATGTTTGCTGTTACAGAATGAATGGACTTTGGGAGGTTATTACCAGTAATCATATGATTGAGGAAGATGTTAGCAGTTGGTGCTTTTCTAGCACTGTGAAATGGTGCATTAGACTTCTTACCTAAATTTTAATATGGATGTCAAACACTTATTCACAATTGTTTTTGTTTTGTTTTTTTTTTTGGTGGGTGAATGGGAATCAAATTCAGGGCTTTGCACTTGCCAGGCAGGCACTGTGCCCTGAGCTACATCTCCAGTTATGAGATGTTATGAGTAGACAAAATTTTGGCAGATGATTTGGAATGTCATGTTCACAGCAAATATTAACCTTATTATTTTTTATTTTAAAATATTGTAGTCCAATGAAATACTTGCCTCACTGTGACCTACTAGAATTTATAGTAGTAATTATGAAAAATGTCTCATGGTAGGGAGACCTACAGACAAAATGGCTAATGTAGAAATCACATACTTCTTAGAGTCCTGGAAACAAAACTATAAAAATCTCAAACACCATTGAAGTGAATTTTTTCATTTTACAAATGGAGAAATTGAAACACTTTTTAGTCTACATAGTTGGTGTCAGAGTTAGCAACTGAATTCAGATTTCTCATATATAATCTTCAATTTAAGAGAAATTACTTTTTTAAAAAGTGACTACTACATGCCAGAAAAGAAAAATGATCTATAATTACCTTGAAGATATAGAACAAAATGAAACAAAGATAGGATTTGATTTATAAGTTGCTTTTTAATTTGAAGATTGTCTTTGTGACAAGTTTGGGTTTTAATAACTAGACCACAAAAAACTCAATTTTTATTTGCCTCACATTCCAGGAGAGCTACAAATGTATTTGCTTTAGCATAATATGTACATTATTTTATTTTTCCCTAAGTACACTGAATATGACTTATATCTTCACAATAACAAAACATTTATGAAACTTAGTTCAATAAGTTAAATAAGTATGCCAAGAAAACAAATTAGCAAGCCAAACTTCAGAGTTTGTGAAGAAAACAATATAAAAGAAATGATTAGAATTTCCTAGCTTTTAGTATTCTGATAAACAACCTATAATCTCTCACAGTGCCAAGACTAGGAGAAGATTTTTTTTGGACAAGTATTATAGGAGTATTATTTTCTTATTTTGGAATATTTATATAGAAAATTCAAAAAGAAAGAGAAAAAAATCACTCGTTCCTGCTCAGAGAAAACCAGTGTTAATATTTTCTTCTTCATCTAGTTTAATTTTATGGTTTGATTGACTTATGTTGCCATATGATTTCTTGTTAGTTTATCTAAACATTTTTTTCAAAAATTCAAGAAAAACAGTAGTTAAAATTCAGGGAACTAATTAAAACTTTTCATAAGAGAATATTTATTCAAGTTATCTTTTTGTTTCTCAGTACAGTATTATGACTTTATTTATTTGTCTTATGCATTTTATATGCTTAATCATTTTATATATTTTATTACTGTTATGAATAGCAGTACACAAACCCATAAGTACACACAAAAACAATCGTTGTTAAATACATTTTTCCTATTTTTGTAAATAGCCAACTTAATAATTTATTACTTTGGGTAGGTAATTACTTTGGGATTCTGGTTATAGATAATCACATCATCTGCAAGTAATCATACTTTTGTTTTTACATATTTATTATTCTTATGTACTGACAAGAACTTCCGGAAAAGCATGATCTAAGCGTTATGATGGAAGACTTTTCCCACTTTTCCTTAGTGTAATGAAATACTCCTGATATTTCACTGTTAAATGTGACACTGGTCATTGTTTGGAGGTAAACATTCCTTAGCATACTTAGGAATTATTCTATTTTTGTTTTGCTTACTTGCTTTTGTCAGTACTTACTGCTGGAATTTGTCAAATGGTCCTTGAGCATCTACTGAGAAGATTGCTTTATTTTCCTTTTTCTCAGTTTTATTTTTTTTTATTTTAAAGAGAAAAGAACAAAACAAAATAACAAAAACAAAGACAAAAACAAAACAACACAAAAGCTATAAAGATGATATAGAATTTCAAAACAAGATGATAGGAGATCAACAATGGTTATTGTATTACTTATTGTTATCTTCATCTGATATAAATAAAGTATTCATATATTTCATATCATTAAACCATTATTACAGTTTCAAGGACTCCTAGCATTTGATTACTTCATCATTTAATACATGTTGATTTCACATCACTTCATATTTATATGTTTACCTTCCCAACAAGATAAATTTTTCTCATCCTTAACAATCAAGGTATGTTTATCTACATTTGTCTGTTTGTTTGCATATTTATTTACATCTTTGTCTATTTCTGTGCAGTTTCCCAGAAATCCATACTGTTTGAGTGAAGGAACACAATGTGGGTGTAGACTGCACAATGTGATAATTCAGCCGCAGATGGTAAGGTTCGGGGAGGAGATAAGAAGTGTCAGTCTGCTCCGGAATAATGGTAAAATGCACAAGCTGGTCCTTCTCCATCAGCTCCTCTGAAGGGTTCCAGCTGCCATTCCATAATATCTTGAAACACCTGGGACCCAGGGCCCTTCCTAGGGCAGCAGTGCTGAGTTCTATATTGTTATGATCTTGTTCCACAGCAGAAAGAGTTTTCTTCTATTTTTCTATACTCAAATTTAATAAAATTTCTTTTATTTATGTTTGACAGATAAAATGTATTTAGTAAATAATTTTACTTACCAAATCTCAATATGTGATGTGAAAATTAGAAATAATCAAAGAGATAAAAAACTCTGCACTTTTCTACACCCAAAGAGATAGCCAATGTAAATGTTGTAATATGTCTTTCCATTATTTTTCTACCCATTAGGACTAATTAGATAATTTAATTTATACTGAGATGTTAGTAGCTGATAATACCATAATTCCTAAGGCAATCTGTTTGCATTTAAGATGAAGCCTTATTACTTTAGTACAAAGGGATAAGCAGGAGGGGGCACTTTGTCCTCAGAGGCTCATGACTGTGGTATATGTGTCTGTGTGTGCATTTTGCATATATAATGTGTGTGCTTGTGTGCGTGTTTGAGAGAGACAGAGACAGAAAAAGACAGAGATATGAAAAATGTATATTTTCATTACAGCATTTGGAATAATGAAACATGTCAGTCTTATTCTAATTGAAATCTATTGCATAAGTCATCACTATATAATTTGCTGATAGGGTCATTTTTATTAAACCTTTCCAGGCTTCAGGAAAACCATGGTCACTCTGGAAAACATGTCTAGTGTGTCTATTGGCCTGCTTGATAGCCTCAGCCATTGTAGCTTTGGTCAGCCATTTTGGCCAGTATGGCAAGCCCATCGGCAATACCACCATCATCATTCATGCAGATGGAAGATCCAACCAGGGTGCTGGAATCCCTACTTATACCCCACCTACCTCATCTACCTCACCTGGACCTCAGAGCACCACACCTTCTACCCCCACAACCAGCCCAAGTACATCTACTAGCGTACCCACAACTTCCATGGAGACGACTACCACCATCTCGACCACCACCCCAATACACCATGTTGATATTGAGTATGAGGATGAAGAGTAGCTTGGAGCCCTCAGTCCTCTTCAAGCCAGAGCTAAACCTCTACTCTAAAGGAGGCATTCCCTGCATTCTCTCTCCTTGCTTTGTAAGGACCTGTTTCTCTTGCTCAGTGCTTTGCTGGCTTCTCATATGGTGATGACTTAGTCTTGGGCCCACTGATGTTCAAATGACTGGGAAAGAAAATGACTATGGGTCTGGGTGATTCATCCAGGTTACAGCAGAGAATATTTTTTTTCCCACTCCTGTACTAACGAGAACTTCAACTCATAAAAAGGCTGCCAATGAGCCCTATTCAATTTAGCTCCCTGCATCTCTTTTCTGAATCCAGTATCTACCATCTGGCCAGTGTGGATTCTTTCCTAATCGCATATATTTGACCCTTACTCACTATTTGTATGCCAGCAGGGAAAGAAGACAATGTTCAGTTAGAGCGATTAACAAGCATAATTTACTAAATACCTATGGATCTTTTGAAGGGGGGCCTATTTTGGAGAATTCAGAAACAGTGGTCCTCAGTGAGAGGTAAACAAGGAAGGATTCTGAAAAACAGTTAAACATGGGAAAGGGGTGAAGGTTTAGATTTAGGGAGATGGTTAGAACAGAGAATGAAAGCACCAAGGAAGTGTAATGGAATTAAAAGCCAAGGCACCTACATGTCCCTGCAATTTCTCATGAAGATCCCCAATAATATTTTACATATCTGATACTGCTTAATCTCTAAACTATTTTGAAGTGCTACGTAGAAATTTTAAGCTTTTAAGTTGTTTTGTAAGTTACAGCATAATTTAAGAGGACATATTGCTTGTAATTTGCTGTGAAACATAAGACTTGTTCAACATTACTCATGTTACAAGTGGTTAGTACAGTTCTAATTAGAAGCAAGTGTTTTTCAGTTTGGAAAAGACTTCAGGGGCAAAGAAACCTGCCTGCCTTAGCTTTAGTCTACTAACTCTACAAAAAGGGAAGATAGAAAGACTAAGCCAAAGACAGACTCAGTGAGTCAACGTTGGAACTCACATCTCTAGTTTATATTTTCTGATTCTCTTTTGCACACAATTAGAGGTCCTGCACACACTCTGAAAGCACTGTTTCATTTTTCAAGATCTCCCAATGCAAAAGACTTTGTACTTCATATAAATCTAAATTGGTTTTCTGCAGTCCATAATAGACCACTTAGATTAGCTATTAAGTTCTTACTGAATAATTAAGCTCTGCATAAGAAAAATTAGAAATTATCATTCTTTAGATAGTTGTTGTCTATAGGTAGTTAGTATTATTTTTCAAATATTGATAAATGTAAGAATTTGAGTATTTGAAGTTATTTGACAAACCACAAACATTCAGTAGTAGATCTTAAGAATGATGCGAGGTATAATGTAAATCTTAAACAATAAATTTTGTTAAGCTCTAGATTGATAAAGCACTAGATAAGAATAAGGTGCAAGAAAGTAAGTACACACACATTTTTTTCCTGCAGCATAATTTTAAAACAATGCACTTGAATTGTATTTTGATTTAAATGCTTGTGAAGATGAAAGCTTAAATTTACTGGGATCAAATTACTTATGTAATTTAAATTTTGTTTTGTGAGATGAAAGTAAAAAATAAGTTTTAAAGAATTCTCTAAACAAATAAAGAATGATACAGAATGTTCTGCATTTTGGAAGCCTTCATTTTTATTGGTTCATGTTGCACTGCATAATACTTACATTAGTTTTGAGAAATTAGTACATTTATAATTATATCTTGATTATTTCTGAGACTCTTTCCTTCTTCCCTTCCCCTCTGCTCTTCCCTTCCCCTTAGCCTTTTCTCTAAGCCTTCGTAAGTAACTAGATGCTGCGATAGGAGTGGTTCTCTTGCCTGCCCCTTACGATGACACAGGATACGACCATACAAAAGCAAACCTTTGTGCTGAAGGAGCATCATCAGTTTCCTAGGTTAAATATTGGTTGGAGATGATCTTAACTGAGTAATCTGAAATGATCATCATTTTGCCCTTAATAAAATGGAGACATGAGAAACTTTTGGATTTTTTTTTTTTTTTTGCTTTAGGCTTTTACAATTTAAAAAACAGTCAACAGAATCATGGAAAATGTCTTTGCACATTAAATTTATAACCTGACAATGGTTTTACAAAGTACTTTAACAATACAAAGTAAAGTGTGAATACTCAGTAGTAGATCATCCTTCAGCTAGAGGATCTCGAATTAAAACATTTCGCAAAACTTTTATGAGTGCAACATTTGTTCTTAAATCCAAGCAAATATATGAGGAATTAAAAAATTTAGTTTTCAAATACACTTCTAACAAATAAGGGTACAAGTCACTCCTTTAGATACTGTATCTTTTAGGTCTTTTGTTCCCTGTGTAGGCCCATTTATCTACATTAAAAACGTGTTGTAACAAGTAGCCTGCTTCACCATCATGTTAGTATGTATTTCCGGGAAAGTCTTTAGAAGTAGTGTATACTATTTAAGCCCTTACTTTGATATTGTGTAGTTCAAAATCTTCTTGGATCATCAGCACTTTATAAGAAATTATGATTTGTGGACTCTTAGTTTTCAGTGACCACTGAGGCAGCTCATTAATTACTATTATAGCAGCAGGTATCTCTTATTAGCTTTATTCTCAAGGCAAGCATGTCTTCATTTTGCCACATCTCTTGCAGACTTTTGTGAAGGCATCATGAAAACATTTGCTAAATGCTTTTTGCATGAAAGCTCTTGCAGGTGTCCCTCTGTCTTTGAGAATGAGACCTACCATTAAGTAGTTTCTTCCCAAAGTCACATGAAGCATTTATCATTCCCATACTACTTTCAGCACTTATTACTATTTCTTCTATTGACAGTTACTTCATATGAATTTTCCTCCTTATATCCCTTTTGTGCTAATCGGATAAGATGCGTTTTAACATGCTCAGAATATGCCTCAAGGGAAAGTGCAAACAAAATATACATGTGGCAGGTTAACAATAGATAGGAGAAACTAAAATGATCATACACAACAACTCATGTCATCTTTTATGTACTGTAGTTGTTTTTCTTGGGTGTAGTTTTGTTTGTAAGAAAACCTGTAAACACAGATGCTTCTGTACCAGTTGCATTGGTTTGTACATTTGCCTTTATCCTAAATGGAAAACATAGGCTAATCTTACAAAGGGAGCCAGAAACCTCATATTGGGGTTGGGGATTTAGCTTCGCGGCAAAGCGCCTGCCTGGCGAGCGCAAGGTCGTGAGTTTGATTCCTGGTAACGGAAGAAAAACAAAAACAAGCAAACAAACAGAAACCTGATACCATTACTTGCTATTTACTGCACCAAGGACACCTGTATCAGTTAAGGGTCAGTTACAATGGACAGATGTTCCTAAATGATAGTGAAGGTATAGAAAAAAATATAGAAAATTTTCTTTCACACATACACATTAGAAGACTGGCCCAGAATTGGAAAAAGGCATTAAATGATTGCCAGAAACCCAGCTAGACTGCTTTATTTCATTGCTCCTGCTCTTATTGCATGGCTTCCATTTCATGGTTCAGAGTAGCTGTAAGCTCCCGTCGTTATGTATACAGTCCAGCCAACAGGAAGGAAGAGGGTGGAAGGGCTTGATCATTTCATTTAAGAATACATCCCAAAGGTTGCATGAGCAATTTTTTTATATTCAGAAAGTAGTTATGGAGTCAAACATAGACTCTGCTAAGAGCCTGAGGAGTACTATTGATGTGACCAGCTAAAACAGTGGTTCTCTACTCACAGGGCAAATAAGCTAAATGGGCTTTAGGGGTTAACCCTGAGTCTCTGCCACAGCTAAATTAAAAAAATGAAAAAGTTAGCATTTTACTACAAAATCCTAATCCTTTCCTGACCGCCAGGTACTCTAATATTCTTGTATAAACATTCTGAATATGGCAAAACTGTAACAATGTCTAAAAATGATGAGTCATTTGCAGCGTCAAAGTGAGCTGGCCGCAGCTGTCCTCTCTTGGGGAGATTTGCCTGCACAGGTAAAGCATCAGAAGCCCCTCCCAGGAGTCGCTGCTCCCTCCGGATCTGTGCAGATCCTGGCCCTGTGCTGCCAGGGAGAAAAACAAAGGAAGTATTTGATGAATTAAGACACTGGCAACATCACAGAGACACCAGGCAGGAAGAGACCTTGGGGATTATCCAGTCTAAACTGTTTGCTTCTGAAAGGACTGAACCTGAACAGTGCTTGGCGAGCTCTGAGTGGGCGCAGGCACAGTGGGAAGGCCGTAAATTCGGTTACCTCTTTGATGGTGCGTCAGTGGTTAAAACAGAGATTAGAATAAGATCTCTGGGTTTTGTGTTAAGGTGCAACCTTTCATATTACATTGTTTGAGTTTCACTTTGGCTTTCACCCTCCATGTATACATGAATGTATTGAAGTAAGAGTGTGTGAAATTACAACTCAATTTTAATGCATTTTATTGCCAGCTGGAAAGAAGAAAATCAGGCTTTTCAGTAGCATTTTTCTCTCGATATTTTCTCTGTCTTATTTTCAATTTTGTCTTTCCTTTTCTCTGTGGTTCAGGTTTTCTTCTTTGTAGCGCTCATACAGTTTTATATTTTTCTGGCAATGCTCTACATAAAGCAGTGGAGAATGTAAAGTATGCAAACTCTAAAAATGGGCAGCCAGGACTGCAAGGCTATATCTATTTATGTGTGACCACTGGAAAACTACCTTGCCTTTCTTTGCCCCAGCTTCCCCATCTAGAAAGTGGGCATAAAAATACCAACTATGTCACACATTTACTATGAAGTATGGCTAGATTAAGATATGTAACGAAAAGCCTTAGAATTGTGTCCTGGCAAACATTAAATATTAGCTAGTGCTGTCAATCAATCTGAAGATAATAGTGAATTGTTAAGTCAAAGATAGGTTTCCCCTTGTCACTTGGCACATGTCTGATGATTCCTTCTTTTTAAATTAATAATTGATAAATATTCAAAAAAGTAAAACTAGTATGATATTCAATTAAGAAAAATGTTATGATTGTGGAGGTTGGGATGGTATTATCATAGAGGTATCTCAAAGCTGAAGGGAGACTGAGAATTGATTGAAATTTTTAAAAATAAGTGAATGTGCAAAGACCTTGAAAAGGTTGTGGATGAAGGCCAAGTGTCTTGGTTACTTTTTTCTCGCTGCTGGGACAAAATACCTGACGCCCAA